AGAATAAAAATACAGCACCACGTAACCATGAGAAATAAAAATGCTTTCTGCTATCGGTATTAGAGTAATTCTGAAAAAAAAATTGTTTAGTAGAGAATCTTAAATGAATTACAACAAGAACAAAAAGCTCAAGAAACTTAGACGTAACTTTGTCCTAAATTTCGTGCACTTTTACCATTGAGAGAAAAAAAAAGATGTATATTTTATCCAGGATCCTGAAAAGATTGTTTATGATATCTTTGAAACTTACAGTGTACATTACTACCAACGAGTGCAAGACAAAGTTCCAGTGGTATTGTAAGCGGTACAAAACTCAGAAAAAAACTTTTAAAACTTGATTTATTGTACCAGTTACAAAAGTTTTTTTAAGGTTAAGAATCTGATGAGCTTAATGCTTGCTTAAATCCTGTTGACTTTAACTCATTCTGTGACAGTGATTACAAAATTTTCATGTAAAATCTTCAAAAAATCTTTTTTTTTTTTGAGTTCGGCAACTACACACAAGAAAAGTAATTTATTTTCAACAAAAAATAAATGTTTCATTTAGATAATACTTAAACAAAGTTTTTTTTCATTTCTACTTAACCACCTAATTTTTTGATGCCCAAAAATTTACTGCCGCCTAAGCAATCAAGTTGAGATCTATTAAGTGGCCCGATTCCTAGTCTGAGTGTATGGCTGAACAAAATGCTGTGATAATTGATGAACGACAATTCGGTTTTTTTTCGTTATTGTTATCTTCTGTTTTATGTTAAATTTTTCCATCCATTATAACTATAGCATTTATATCACCCTTCCAATCTCTCCTAACAAAAAATAACTTTAATTAGCACTTTTTTTTAACTGAATTATTTTAAGTCAATTTAATAATAATTATAATAATAACAATAATTTTAATAATTGTAATGATAATTATAAGTTTAAATAAAGGAATGATTATAAGTGACTTTAGATTATTGTTCTTTAGTCAGAGTAAAAATCTGTATGAAAAAAAACAAAATTTTCTTTTGCTGTAATCACATTATATAACAAAAATTTACCTACATGTGTTTTTGGTCTTTAATTTAAAGCTAAAAAACTAAAATAAAATACCATAATGACAACAGCAATGAAATTTCACTCTTTCTTCTTCTTTTGTTTATTTGTGATGCCGTAATTAGTCAACAGCTACAAAAAGAAAAAAAAAAAGGAGCAGGACGTGAACAAAACTTGAGAGTCACATTG